TTTTACATGCCTGTTATATGCTAGGTTTTGGTGCACTTCCGAAAAATGAGTGTTGGCAGATAAAACTATAAGGAGTTTATTTGGAATATAATGCCAGTCTGTAAACTTTGTCTATGATGTGACTGTAGCACTCTGAACATTCTGAATACTAACCAAAACTAAATTGTTTACTTCATGTTTCTTAAAAGCTCCTGATAAAAGACTAGTTTCCCACAGCTTGATGAGGCTTATTGTTAGTTGAATAAAAAAAATTGGTACGTGTGAGGGGAACTTAAGAAAATTACACATTTGTTATTTGTTACACAATTTTTACTACAATCCACTGAAAATAAGCACACAAGCTAGAGCTGTAAGTCTTTTATTACTTTTTTTTTTCAAATGAAAGTCTGAAACTTAACGAGTTCCTGGGAAGCCACATGCATAAACCAGTTAATGTGTCAGATATGTAATACAGAAAATATTCTAAATAAGCTGTAGCACCTGATACTTGACTGTAGTTGCATTTGGTCATTGATTTATGACTTTCTCAGGCATGGGATGATGTAGTACCAAAAGAAAAACCAAAAGAGGAGGCTTTTGAATACAAGAAACGTGTCACTTTGGATCATGAAAAGAGTAAACTGAGTCTTGCTGAGATCTATGAGCAAGAATACATGAAACTTCACCAGGTAATGTAAGCAACGCCTTTCCTTTCGGTTTGAAGTTCATATCACATAATTTTCTATCTTCATTTGTACACTGCTAACTCTGCTTTCAGCTTTCTGGAAGCACTCCAATCTTTCTCTGACTTCACCAGTGAAATGGCTCTGAATTGTATATTGTGTTGTTATCAGTCTTGCTAAAGTAAAATACCTTTATGAATGGTGTTGCAGTAACATTGCATTATTAATGCAGCAAAAGACTGAAGAGGAAGAAAATCCTGAACACAAAGAAATTCAGGAAATGATGGATTCACTCTTCCTGAAGCTGGATGCGCTTTGTAATTTCCACTTCACACCCAAACCAGTAAGTACCTAAGTTTAATTAAGTTGGAGTTTCTCTCCGCCCCCACCCCCCACCCTCCCCCCTGCAAAACTGGATACTTTAAAATATATTTAGGAAATGGAAAGTGAAGTAAACATTGAGTGTTATTAAGCTTGTTCTTATTTCATATTAAATGCACTAATGCCTCTAAACAAAAACAAATATTTAGTATCTTCAGTTAGCTGTAAGCTGCTGTGAGATGGTGTGCTCAGTCCTGAATATGTTTGCTTATTTCTAGCCTGTGCCAGAAGTTAAAATAGTTTCGAACCTTCCAGCTATAAGTATGGAAGAAGTAGCACCTGTTGCTGTTAGTGATGCTGCTCTCTTAGCACCAGAGGAGATCAAGGTAAGTATAAATTAAAATCATGTAAGGATCTGGAGGGGATCTGTATTGTTGATGGAAGGGTGTACTGCCTGCCAGATCAATGGGAGAATTCTGCCCTTTCCCACCCTGGGTTCCTCCCCTTGTGGACCTTCTTGCCTAGCATTTTAGTGGTGATTGTTGTTGGGGCTTTGCAGGGGGGAGGGGTGCGCTTTTATTTTTTTCTTTTTTTTTTTTTT